TCAAAAGTATCTCCTAATCATTTTGAGATCCAGGTCAGGTGTTGCTTGTCTTGGGAAGCTTTTTGGAAGGCTCCCTGTGTTAGATGCTCGTGGTGCTCTCAAAGTCTTGTGATTAGCTGTCTTAGCACAGTTTTGTATTTAATTCCCTTTTTTTTTTTTGGTGGGACCCTCGCCGGTGGCTGGGGAACTAACCGGCGCTGCAGAGGCTGTGGGCAGCCTTGCTGCCCAGCGCTCAACCACTGCGCCACCAGGGGAGGCCCTGTATTTAATTATTTAGATAGTAATTTGTCTCCCAGGTGGCTTCATGAGGGCACTTTCCTGTTTGTAGAGTTTCTGGCACAGTGTCTACCTTTAAACTTACAGGAATCAATGTTAATTGTGGGGTCTGGCTGCTTTTGCATAGATCCTTATAGTCACAGGAAGATACAAAGGGACAGTCTTGGTCTAGTGGAAAACAAAGAAGGAGAATGGGAGTCAGAGGACCAGTTCTACTCTGAAGCTTTTGGTGTGCCACCTAATCCTCACAGGAATCCTGTGAGGCATGTGGCATCATGAGGAGACTAAGGAGCAGAGAAGTTAAGTAATTCATATCAACTGGCAAAACTCTACATTTGTCTGACTTAACAATTCTATTCATCTGTTGTTTTAGTGATATATCATTTAGTCTATCATTTTAATCAAAGTGTATCATTCTAATTCTGCTTATTCCTGTTACCTCAGAGGATCTTCAAAAGAGGTAAATCTGCGCCCTTTGGGTCAGCTCTGTGGCCTGGGATTGGGGATCAAACTCATGCTGCAGGACTGGTGATAGGTGATAGCGCTGAGACTTTAACCCCTGCCCCACTGGGGATACCCCAAATTTTAACCTTTATATAATTTTTTTTTTATATCCTTTTTTAATTTATTTTTTTTTTTTTAATAGAGGCATGTTTTATTTATTTGTTTGTTTGTTTGTTTTGTTTATACATGCACTGGGTACAGTCAGAAGCGCGGGAGGGTGAGAGAATTCACCAGAGCCAGAGCAGGGAGCAGAGCAGGCAGAAGGACCAAAGTACACTGCTGAGGGGAGCAGCGGGTGGCAGGAGAGGTCTGCGCACCATGTGGGACCCTCCTCCGGTGGCAGGGGAGCAGCCGGGGATCGAACCAGCGCCACAGAGGCCGCGGGCAGCTTTGCAACCCAGCGCTTAACCGCTGCATCACCGGGGAGGCCCTATATAATTTTTGCCTAAACCTTTTACTATGTTTGAACTGACCTGTGTGTTCAGTTAACAACCACTGAAGATGAAAGTAGAGTTAATTCTCTCTTGGTTTTCCCAAATACAAATATCTTTATTTCTTTTACCATTTTCTTTAGAAATGGAACCACTGGGGCAAAGAATATGCACATTTAAAACTTTGATCAGTATGGTTGGATTGTTCTATAGAAAGGTTATACCAGTTTCTACTTTTACCAGCAGAGTAGTGTGCATAAGCTTATTTCCTCACATCCTTGATGAATCTGGGCAATAAAACTTAGAGAAAATAATCAGGTTTTATCTGATTGTTACTTGCAAAGACAAGCCTTTTACTATGTTTGTTACTTGCATTTCTTTTGTTATTTTCCTACTAGCAGTTTTTATTCATTTTTCTTCTGAGTTATCTTTATTTTATCATATCTATATATAATATGTAGATAGTTGCTTGTGTTTTAACTTGGTTTTTGGTATCTGTTTAGTAGTCAAATATGTCTTTATGGGTGGTTCTTAGTCTTCATAGTCTACATAGGAGGACTTCCCTTTGTCATGATTAAAAAGTAAATTTAGGGCCTCCCCTGGTGGCACAGCAGTTGAGCGCTGGGCTGCTGCCTGCAGCCTCTGCAGCACCGGTTTGATCCCTGGCCACTGGCAAGGGTCCCACATGGCGCGCAGACCTCTCCTGCCGCACCCGCTGCTCCCCTCAGCAGTGTATTTCATCAGTCTGCCTGCTCTGTTCCCCGCTCTGGCTCTGGTGAGTTCTCTTACCCTCCCGCGCTTCTGACTATACCCAGTGCTTGTATAAATAAATAAATAAATAAATCTTTAAAAAAAAGTAAATTTAAAAATTAGTTCCTTTTGTTGGTTACATAAGTAGGAAGAGTGCAGGTAAGAGTGTTGTTTAGATCATTATTTAGTGGTATGATTAGTCACTATACTAGACTTGTTTTTCTGCGTTTTATGAAATCTTTGAAAACCTGGAAAACTGCATAGGGAATGTTAATTGAAGACTAAGGTGAAGTCACTATAGAAATTAGGCCAAATTTGTGACCTTTGTCTCTTAGGTATTTACACACAAAATGGCTGCTCACCCTGAAGATAATTCTAAAAGGACTTTCATTTTGATAAAAAGTCTTATGAAAGTTTAGATATTTAGTGCATATTGAATTAGATCAGGATACTGTTATTTCTTTAGGATATTGTTATTTCTTTAGCTCTTCTGCCATGAGAGTATAAAGGTGGGAGGGGGTGAGGTGTGGGGAGTAAGGTAGAATAAAGAGAGGGAAAGACTGAATAGAATTATTGATACTTGACGAAGGGTTGTAACAATGCTGAGGAGTGGCAGTATGGTAGAAACAAGTCAGCTCAGTATTACTAGCAATTCCATTTCCTGATGATGCTTTGTTTTCTATCCCTTTGTGGTTTTAAGCATTTGTGGTACTAACGCAGATTGCAAACGATCACTGACTTGAACCTGCAGTTTTGCTATTTCAACGGTGCATGTGTGCTGTGCATGCCTGTGTTTGTGCATTTAAATAGTCACCACATTTGAATAGAAATCACTTGGTAATTTCAGAAGTGAAACTCTAATGTGAACTCTCATTTCCTTCAGTGGCAATAAAGTAAGTAGTGGTTAGCCTCAAACTTACTCCTTTGCAAGTTATACAGAAGACCGGCTTTCTTTGTTGTCTTTGTCTTTTGCACCTGACACAAATGCCTCAGTTTCATAGCTGACCGTTCCTTTGCATAAACAGTATTTTTCAGACTTAGATTTATATGAGCATGGATTTGTGACTTTTTATATTGGGAAATTTACAAATGAGGAAGTAAACCGGGGAAGTCTTTAAACTTTTAAAGAATTTTAACATGTTTGTGTATCCCTTTAATTTGCTTTATTGGCTTAGCCATTGAACTATTTGTATGCACGTGTGTGTTTGTGTGTTTGCATCACACACTTCTTGGGTATTTTTTTACATTTTAAGAGCATGACATTTACTGCCAGGATGGGGTAATAATTGTTAACTTTATTAATTTCACAAAGTATTTTCACAGCCTCTGTAATAAATAGGTTGGAGCAGATAAAAAGGATTGAAAACTCAGGGTTTTATCCATCAAGAATAAAAAAAAGAGAAAATGGCTAACTGGCTCCTGAATCCAGTTATTTGGAATTCAGATCTGAAATTTTCATTATTCTAAGTTACTTAAATCTTTGCCTGTGAGCACAGATAATTGTAAATGGAAAGGTTTCAGTGCTGTGAAGGGGTAATCCTTCATAAATAAGGGGAAGGGGAACTTTTTATTGAGCCAAAATTGTATATATGCATAATTAATTCTCACAAGGCATAGGTATTATTAGTCTCATTTTCCTCATAAGAAAACAAAATCAGCTAAGTGAAAGTAACTTCTCCAGGGTCACACAGGTAGGAAGCATTAAAGCAGAGAGAGTCAAACCAAGAGTTTCTGATTCTAGGTGTTTCTTTTCCTCTGTACCAGTTTCTTCAAAGCTAAAATCTAAGAGTATAGAAGTATAACTTCTCTCATAATGGATGAGAAAAGTGAGTGATTTAAATTATAAATTGTACTGTAATTGTTTCAGTGTGATTAATTTGAATCCTACAGTTTAATAACACAAGTAGAATGATTAAAGAGAATGTGGTAATAATTTTTTTCTTTAGAATTTAGAAAATAATTTTAAGGTTCTTAGTTATTAAGGTCTTAAATGGTTAGGATTATGAGAGCTTTCCCCCCTCTTAAACTGGCATAGTAAAAAAGGAATCTCACAGACAAGGATTGTATCCTTTGTCTTCCCTACCAAGCTAAGACAATGGATGAATATGTGTAGGCATGATCAAGAAGCACCTTTTACCTTTTTAGTGATTGTGCTGCTAACAAAAATTTTGCTTGCTTATTTTTGCTTCTTTTTGGTCAGATTCTGAGAATTAACATTACTTTTCATTAGGCAAATTATTTCTAACTCAGGTATAATTTTACCAGTTAACTTTTGCATATAAAAGCAATCTGGGGCCTTCCTGGTGGTGCAGGGGTTAAAGTCTCAGCACTATCAAGCTATCACCAGCCACCGTGGGAGGAGTTTGATTCTGACCGGGAAGCTGACCCTCTCCTGTCTTGTCCCCTGCTCTCCTCAGCAGTGTATTTCAGTAGATCCACCTGTTCTGCTCCCTACTTTGTCTCTGGTGAATCCTCTCACCTCCTGCACCTCTGGCCTACATCAGTTCTTTTTTTTTTAAGACATACATTTTTTTTTTTTTATAGAGGCATGTTTTTATTTATTTATTTATTTTATTTGTTTGTTTGTTTTGTTTATACATGCACTGGGTACAGTCAGAAGCACGGGAGGGTGAGAGAATTCACCAGAGCCAGAGCGGGGAGCAGAGCAGGCAGAAGGACCGAAGTACACTGCTGAGGGGAGCAGCGGGCGGCAGGAGAGGTCTGCAAGCCATGTGGGATCCTCCTCCGGTGGCTGGGGAGCAGCTGGGGATCGAACCTGCGCCGCAGAGGCCGCGGGCAGCTTCGCAACCCAGCGCTCAACCGCTGCACCACCGGGGAGGCCCCTACATCAGTTCTTGTACGCATGAATAAATAAAAATAAATCTTAAAAAAAAAGCAATCTGGTGTGCACATGGAATTATCTCACTGTGAAGAAATTGGACAGGGTAAACCAGTATGTATGTAGAGCTGTCCTTTTTTTATAGTTGAAGTTAGAATTTTGTGCTGTTAATATTTATCAATCTCTCTTTTTGCTTTTAGGATATTCGGAAATTCTTTGGGGTTATACCAAGCGGGAAGAAGCTTGTAAGTGAAACAGTAAAGAAGAATGAAAAAACAAAGTCCGCTGAAGAAACTCTAAAGGCAAAGAAAGGAATAAAGGAAATTAAGGTCTGGTTTTCAGATACATTTTGAATTGTATGCAAGCTCAAATAAACTCATTTCCTTCATTTGATATTTTGGGAGCCTCATAAATAAAGATTTCAAAACATTTAGCAGGGGAAAAAGTAACAGTAGTAATGTTTTACTTATTTCTAATTAATATAGTTTACCGTATTTGTAGCTTGTTGGTTTTCTGAAGTAAGAGATGGAGCCCTTTTCAGTTGTTAAAACTGCGTTTTAAGAAAGCCAAAGTTTGCTTAGAGACTTGAACCCTAGGTGGATGGTACTCAGTTTCTAGTGAGAAAATGCTTTGGAGGGAAGCTTTAGTTATTGCTGTCTCCTCCTTAGACCTCAGAGAGGGTTAGGTATAATGTTATAGAAAGCGGGCATTGACTGCAGTAGTGTTTCTGAGTTAGTATTTTTCCACTTAATTTAAAATGTATGAATCTTGCAGCTCTACAGCTTTGTTTACAACTTCCCCATCCTTTGTCTTACTTGCCATGTGTATTATATCTACATGTACTAATATTATATCTACATGTTTTTTAAAAATTGCAAGAATTACTTTTTTTTTAAAAGATTTATTTATTTATTTATTTATACATACAAGCACTGGGGTACAGTCGGAAGCATGGGATGGTGAGAGAATTCACCAGAGCCAGAGTGAGGAATAGAACAGGCAGAGTGATGAAATACACTGCTGAGGGGAGCATTGGGTGACGCAGGAGAGGTCTGCCGCACCATGTGGGTTTCTCCCTGGCCAGCTGGGATCGAACCGTCACTGCAGAGGCTGCGGACAGCTTCACAGCACGGCGTTCAACCTGCTGCGCTACCAGGGAGGCCCCTTTCTCAGCTTCTTGAGTCTATACATTTCTATCTCTATACCCTGGGAATTTTTGGCCATTACTTCTCACATATTTTTCTGCTTCATTTTTTTTTCTCCTCTTCTTTTGGTGTTTTAGTTAGCTACATATTAGAATATTGATACTGTCTCAAAGATCATTGAGGCTTATTTATTTTTAATTAGCCTTTTTTGCTCTGTACTTAGGATTGGATAATTTCTCTATTATCTTGAAATTCATTGACTTGTCATTTCCAATTTGCTGTTAAGCCTGTATAGTGACTATATATATTTTTAAATAATTTTTTATATATTAATTTTTCTAATTCTGGAATATCCATTTGGTTCCTTTTCACAGTTTTTATTTATCTCCTTTATGTTTTTGACTGTTGTTGTAATAACTGCCTTAAAATTATTATATGCTAATTCTAACATCTGGCTTATATCCGGATTGTTTCCCGTTCTCTTGAGTCTGTAGCTCATGTATTAGTCGACTTTGACTACCATAGACTGGGTGTCTTAAACAGAAGTTTATTTTCTTACATTTCTGGAAGCTGGACATTTATGATTAAGATTCCAGCCAGTTTAGTTTCTGGTGAGAATGTTTTTTCTGGCTTGCAGTTGGCTACCTTCAGGCTTGTCCTCACATAGTATTTCCTTGGTGCTTGTATAAGGGAATGGGGTGGGGGGAGACGGAGACAGACAGAAAATGCAAGCACACATAACAGGGAGATGAGCGGGGAAACTCTGGTGTCTCATGTTAAGTACACTGGTTTTAATGGATCAAAGCCTCATCCTTATTTTATTTAGCCTTAGTTACTTCCTTTGAGACTCCTCCAAATACAGCTATACAGGGAATTAAGGAGTCAATATAAATTTTAGGGGGACACATTCTGCTAATGGGATCCCAAGTTCATGTTCCTCTCACATGCTTTATAAATACATTCATCCTAACAACCTCCCTCTACCTAAAGTTTTGACTCACTGCAGCTTAACTAAAGTTTAAAGCCTTAAAATCTCATCTAAATCAGATAAATACCAGTGAGATTTGAGGCATGATTCATTCTGGGGCAGAATTCCTCTTAAGCTATGAACCGTGAAATGAGACAAGATGTGTGCTTCTAAAATATGATGGTGGGATAGACGTAGAATAGACATTTCCATTTCAAAAGAGAGAAATAAGGAAGAAAGTGGTAACAGTCCCACGCACGTCTTAAAATCTAGTAAGGCAAATTCTACTAGCTCATAAAGTCGGAGAATAATCCTCTTTGGTACAGTGCCCTGCCTTCTCATCCACTGGACAGTGGTCCGACCCCTAAGACTTCTGGGTGGAAGCTGTCTGATCTGTTGAAATAAGAAAGGCAACTCTAGGGCCTCCCCAGTGGCGCAGCGGTTGAGCGCTGGGTTGCAAAGTTGCCTGAAGCCTCCGCGGCGCTGGCTCGATCCCCGACTGCTCCCCGGCCACAGGAGGAGGGTCCCACATGGCGTGCAGACATCTCCTGCCGCCCGCTGCTCCCCTCAGCAGTGTACTTCGGTCCTTCTGCCTGCTCTGCTCCCTGCTCTGGCTCTGGTGAATTCTCTCACCCTCCCGTGCTTCTGACTGTACCCAGTGCTTGCATAAAATAAATAAATAAATAAATAAATAAATAAATAAATCTTTAAAAAAAAAAAAGGGCAACTCTGCTCTCTGAATCGCCTTTCAGGATTATTTATCCTGTTAGTTGATAGTGCAGGTTTGCAGCCCAATTGCTCTGTTGTCCTGTCTGTAGAATTAAGTCTGACAACCTTCCTTCATTTTGTGCCCTTCATTTCAAACTGGCAGTGTTGTTTGTGTAATCCCATAAAGTCTTTAATGACTGTTAGTCCAGCTATACCTTTGATGTTTTCTTCAGAGCACACTTTGTTATTTTTGCAGTGTACATAGGCTGAGAATTGCCCAAATCTTTTTTTTTTAAAAGGTGGCTATTCAGTGTATATATATGTGTGTGTGTGTGTGTGTGTGTGTATATATATATATATATATATATATATATATATATATATATTTTAAGATTTATTTATTTATACAGGAGCTGGGGTTCAGGCCAGAGGCACGGGAGGGTGAGATAATTCACCAGAGACAGAGCGGGGAGCAGAACAGGCAGACAGACCGGAAGCACTGATGAGGGGAGCAGCGGGTGAGGCAGGAGAGGTCTGCCGTACCATTGGGATGCTCCCTGGCCAGCGGGAGATCAAACCTGTGCTGCAGAGGCTACGGACAGCTCCATAGCGCTGTGCTCAACCCACTGCACCACCACGGAGGCCCAATTTTCCAAACCTTTTAAGTTCTGATTTCTTTTAGCCTAACATTTCAGTTCATTTCTCTTAGCATGTAATTGTAGTCAGGATGACTGAGGTCATATTTTCTAACAGTTTGGTTAAAAGTCTCCTCAACTAAATGTCCAATTTCATGATTTAGAAGTTCTTTTTCAAAGCCCTAGAATACAGTTCAGCCAAGTTCTTTGCCAATTTGTAACAGAACCATCTTTCCTCCGGCTTTCAGTAACCTTTTTCTGTCTGAGACTTTATCAGAATGATCTTGCATGCTTATCACTCTACGAGCATTCTGTTTATGGTGATCTATGTTTTCTTTAATATGATAGGGACTTGCTTGATAGCTCTCATTTCTTCTCCCTGAAACCTTTAATATCTGTATTTCTACCACTAATCTCTTAATGGCAGTCTAGACTTTCTCTAACGTGAACCTCAAAACTGCTTCCTTCTTACCAACATACAATATCACTTTGTATTTTAGGTATTTGGTATAGCATCTCTTGTTAGTTACAAAATCAATATTGGGTAGTAGTCTGTGTTAGCCATTAGTTCCTCAGAGAAAGAAAACCAGTGTGTGTGTGTGTGTGTGTGTGTGTGTGTGTGTGTGTGTGTGTGTGTGTGTGTGTGTGTAGATATTTATTATAAAGAATTGACTCGTGATTATGGGGACTGACTAGTCCCAAGACTTATGTCACTATTGAAGAATAGCTGATGGTTTATTGATTGTTCAGACCTGAGTCAAAAAGCCTGTGAAATTGTAGAGCCAATAGTGTGGGTCCAGTCTGAAGGTGGGGAGACTTGAAATCCAAGAAGAGCCAGTGTTTACTTTGGTATCCAAAGGTAACCAAGGCTGATATCCTAGCTTGAGAGGCAGTCAGGAGTAGAAATTCTTTAGTTGGGAGAGGGTCAACCTTTTGTTCTGTGCAGACCTTCAACTGATTGGATGAGACGTACCCATGTTGGTGGAGGAGGATGGTAGTTGGAATCTGCTTTACTTAGTCTATTGGTTTAAATGTTATATTCATCCAAAAATACTTGAAATGCCCAAAATAATGCTTGATGAAATGTCTGGACACTTTGTGACCAAGTTAAGTTAATACATAAAATTAGCTATCACAGGTCATTTCTTTACATGTCTAGTTATTTTGAATTTACCTTGGACAGTGTAAATGAAGCAGTGTAGAAATTTTGGATTCTGTTATATTTTTCTAAAGAGTAATATTTCTTTTGGTTTAGTAGGCTGCTTGGCTGAGCTCAAAATCTAAACTCTTGTCTCCCTTGTGATGGGCAGCAGCCAAAATCTTTCATTCTTTTGACCTTAGCTGGGCATCTGGAGATGTTTCTTGCATGCATGGTTTAGTATATGTGCTGCCGAAGCGAGCACTCTTGAATGCATGGTTTAGTAGCCGCCACAGACTTGGGTTAAGTTTATTAGTAGAATTTGAAACTCCTCCTAAGTAGCTCATCCCTTTCTGGGATGCCATCTTCTCTTGCTTTTGAGTTACTGTGGTTGATGCTGCTCTGTCTTCTAGCTCAGTGATTCATTTGTCTTACTTTCTTGCAAGCTGGTTGATTGTTCCTATATTTTTGAAGTTTTATTATAATGGATAGAAATATACGTCTATCTTATAGTTATTCAGGGCTATTTTTTAACTTATTAACCCTTTAGTCTGAAAAATTCTTTGTTGTGGAGGACAGTCCTGTGCACTGTAGGATGTTTAGTAACATTCCTGGCTTACCAGTTTGGTGCCAGTGATAACCCTTTCCCACACACCAGTTATGACAATCAAAAATGTTTCCCAAGGGGATAAATTTCTTCTGGTTGAGAACCACTGAATCAAGTCTAATGAGGAAAAAATGGCTATTAGATGTGCTTCTTTGTGTTCTAATTATACTGTGATGTTTATAGGTAAACAATTCTTGTAAAGAAGATGACTCTAAACAGAAGCAGCCAAACAAGAAAAAGAGGATTATTTATGATTCAGGTAATATTTCTTCGGAGGAGCTTCAAAGTTTTAAGATTATTTTATGTTCCTTAGAACAGTTTTCCAAACATGTTCTGAGACACATAGCTCCCAATGACAGTAATAGCTGTTTTGAGAAGAGCACTCTATACTCAGTAAAGTTAAACAATTTTACTATATTGCACAACTAATTAGCCTAAATGTAGTAATGTATTAAAGATTTGTTCAGAGAGGAATATAGTATGTAGGATGTCTCAAACTTAGTTTGAATATGGTATATTTTTAAAAAAATATGTATTTTTATTCCAGCTGAGGTTTTTAGAGGTTGAATTTGAAAAATAGTGCCTTAGATTATTGCTTTAGAAAAATCTAAAATTTAATTTTTGTGATTTCAATTTGGTCACTTTTTTGGGTTGCATTTAAAGAGGAGCACACAATTTAAAAACTTTTCTTTGAATATACTTTTAAATAGGGAACATAATTTTTTCTCCTTGCCTTTAATAATATGTCAGAATAATGATATAATTAAAAAGTTTTAGGTTTTGTTTTTTGTGGAGATCATCTGGTGTGAGTTCCGAAATTAAAAATGTAATCTAAGAAGCACTTACAGCTTGTCAGGATTTAGATCAGGGTTTTGACAGTGATAACAAAGGTTCTGATTTGATTCTAAAAGTATTTAGGTATTTATTGAGTCGTTTCTGGCTGTGTACTATAAGGAATTTGAAAGAAGTACACACTCTTGTTCCCCAGGAGTTTTCATTATTTAGGAAATTGGAAATTTATTTGTTTGATAGAATTTGCAACAATGTGAGACAGGATTTATAAATGTATGGTGCAGAGGAAGGACACTGAAGTTTAGGAAACTCTTATGTTGTACTAGGCGCTATATTAGATACACTTTGTCCTGCATTATATTTAAGTGCTCTGCATGGTAGGGCTGTGGTAGTTCCCTAAATGTCTATACCTAATTCCTAGAACCTGTTAGGTTACATGGCAAAGGGAAATGCAAGTTGTAGGTGGTATTAAGGTTGCTAATCAGATGGCTTTAAATTGGGAAATTATCCTGGATTAATTTGGTGGATTCAATGTTTTCATGAGGAAGAGGGAAGTAGAAGAAAAAGAGCTAGAGAGAGCTTACCTATGGAAAAAGGAAAACCTATAGCAGCATGAGATGGACTTTGCCTGATGTTGATGGCTTTGAAGATGGAGGAAGGGGACATGAGCCAAGGAATGCTGGAAGAGAAGTGATTCTTTCCTAGAGTATCCAACAAGGAACAAAGCCCTGATGACATCTTGATTTTAACCCAGTGAGACTCTTGTATAGAATTTATGACCTACTAAACTCTAAGATCAAAATTTTGTCTGGTTTTAAGCCACCAAATTTGTGGTTATTTATTAGACCAGCAATAAAAAACTAATGAAAAGACTTACCACTGGGTGGAAGTAACCTGTGAAAATTCTGAAATACTGAAAAAAAGGACTTTGAGGAATTGGTAGCAGCTACCATTTTAACACCATTTTGAAACTTTCTTTTCAAAGTTTTGTTTTGTTTTCATCCTATATATAGATTCAGAATCAGAGGAGGCAGCACAGATAATAAATGCCAAAAAGCAACCAGAAAAATTAACATTGTCTTCTAAACCTGGCAAAATTCTCCGACAAGATCCTGTTACCTACATTTCAGAAACAGGTAAGGATACTGAATATATTTAATGATTTAATGTTTTAGAGAGAAGCAGCATGTGTTATGTTCTTGTGCTTTTTAATGTCTAATGTGCCTCCACTGTGAATTGAATTTCTGCCTTTTTTGCTTTGCTGAATTATATTTATTAGCGAAGATTGTAATCATCTTTGGCTTTTTCTATCAGATAAGGACCAATTTACAGGGCAGTTTTTTTGAAGTGCTTCATAATTGAATCATGTAAATTGAGGCTCTTTAATCATTTATTAAAGTATTTTTCAATTGTTTTACAATTTTTTTATGTAAGTTTTTTATCTGGCATGATGAAGTCATAATCTAGGTGAATAATGATTATTCATATTTTTGATTTCTAATCTAGCGTAGATGTGCTGAATTCTTTATATTTGTTTGTGACACTAAAGATTTTAGCATTTGCTTTAAAAAAAGATTGCTTTTGTGCTTATATTTGTTTTGAGTGGTTGGAAAGCAAAAAACATGTAATTGTGTTCTAATCTTAAGATTTCATAATACTATAGATAATTGCTATATAGATAATATTCTTTGTGATGAAGAGCCCTGAATTATGTTGTCATGATAGGAAGAAATTTTGTTTTTGATTCTAGCACCTAAAAAGGGATCATAATAAGAATAAAAAATCAGCTATATTAATCTTCAAACTCAGAACCTGTTGAATTGATTCCTATGTTGAAATGATTTCAGCATCATAAGAGCATCTGATAACTTACTGGTTATTTCATATTGAGGAAAGTCTCTGAAATCATTATTTTTAGCACTCTGCTACTTTTATTTCTAGTGAAATGAATATACTTGGTATGAAAAGAGAAAATAAGTGCCACATAATTATTTTTGCACAACATGTTACGATTTGCATTCTACAAACACTTATTATTTTATGCCCCATATACTAAGTGCTAGAGATAACAAAAGATGACTTACATCCTAGCACTGTAGGAGTTGCCTGAGGCTGCAAAATGCAGTAGTCAGGGAGTGGGCAAGGTCCTTGAAAGTGATGGCGGGAAGAACATGTCATGTTAATAGAATGGAATTAATTAAGGGACAATACCCAGTGCAAGTCTTGTTATGTTCCTAGGACGCTAAGGAGATGGCTTGTCCACATGATGAAGAGTAGTGAGAAGTAGATGAAGACAGGTTAGGGAAGACCTGGAAAACTAGGCAGATGAATTTAGATTTACTATAGCGGGGGAAAAGAACCATTTAGGTTTTTGAATAGAGTTGTGCAATGATGAAGATAGTATAAAGGTGATCTCTAGATTACTAGTATTCTTGGTGGGATAGAGAGGAGAGAAGCTGTAACGAGAGTTTGAGGCAGTTACAGGAGTCTTAAAAAAGTTAGCAATAGTAAGGGTCTGATCTATAAACATTTTGAGAGATAAGTTACAAATTAAGGTTTTGGTTTACCTGTGGGCTTCATTCAGCTATGCTGCCCACGATGAATTCTTACTAGGGTAATTGTAGAGTTGATATTGTTAACATACTTAAGGTTCTTTTTCCCTTTTTAAAAAAATAACAGCTCTTTGGAAATACAATTCACATACCTGACAATTCACCTCTAAGGTTTTTGTAGATATGAAGAACAATAAAACTTTGCTTATGTGTTTGGGCCACCATTTGAATAGATGATGGTACTAAGGTAGATAAATTGGTCCATAAGTAGGGAATGAAACAAGAAAGAAAGTCCTCGTTTTTGTAGAAGAAACCTTAGACTGGAGGTGGGAAGCCTGGCCTGGTACACCCTTGCTTTCCTTTTAACAGCTGTCGGACTTTGGTTAAAGCTCAGTGAATCTGGGGCCTCCCTGGTGGGGAGGCAAGGGGTTGAGCACCACACTATGAAGCAGTTCGAAGCCTCTGCAGCACAAGTTTGATCCCCGGCCTGCCAGGGAGCAACCCACATGGTGCAGCAGACCTCTCCTGACTCGCCTGCTGCTCCCCTCAGCAGTGTACTTCGGTCAGTCTGCCTTTCTGTTCTCCACTCTGTCTCTGGTGAAACCTCTCACCCCCCGCATCTCTGATCTGTACCCCAGCTCTTGTATGCATAAATAAATAAAAAAGCTCAGTGAATCTGTCTTCCACAAAAGCAATAAATGCATAGACCTATTGGGAAGACTTAATAGGATGATGCATCTAAAAGGGACAGAGCTAGTGCCTGACACATATACTAATAGGAGTCAAAAGGAAAATATAAAAAGAAACATAAACCATAGATGAGCTTTGAAAGTTCTTTGAGATATTTATTTAATAACGTGCAAATGATCAAAGACGTTCAAATGATCAAAGACAAAATATAAGTGTTGTGAATAAATTTACTGCAAAATTTTGGTAAGCTGAGATATTTCTTCATTATGGCATGAGACAGATTGATTCTAACCTTTTTGTTCTATTGCTAAATAGCTGCTCAGGCACATTGTGCAAATGAAGTGTTCTATTAAGAGCTCCCCCCCCCCCCGCCCCAATATCTGGCCACATTCGTGAAGTTTGAGTATGTGGGAGGGATACTAAATACAGTATGGTGATAGGTTTATTATGTAACTGAAGGTGGTGTGATCGAGTTTTTTAGTGACACGTGAAAACGTCAAAGTTACTAGTGTGCAGACCGCCATGACCTTCAACTGTGGATCAAGGCTATCCTTATCTTGTGATTTTTAGGTACACGAAAGGGTCAGACAATTTAAGCTCTGATCACACACTTTTGTAAACACAGGATTGTTTCTTTTGTCCAGGTATTTTTGAATGTTATTTTCTGAAGAGGTATCTAGCATTTTACCTGAAATTTTTATGAACTTTAGGCAGTGTTTATGCCATTTTGCTGAAGCCATGTGTATGTGAAAGTGAACATTGTTCCCATGTTTTAGCTAAATCTTGGGATACAGTGTACCCATCTAATAACATATTTAGTATTAGCATGTGGTCTCTCTTAAATTCGAGATATAGGAGAGAAGCTAGCTTTTTCTTGCATATTTTACCTTCTCATACTTTTTTATTTCTTGAAATGATAGGTGAATGGGAGGAAGAGAAACCCCTTTTCTTCCCTCCATAAAAGAAAGTAAGATTGTTAGAAAGAGATCCACAATAAAATTAGCGTTATTCAATCATTTTTAAAAAAAGTTGCAGAAAAGTTCTTGAAACTAATACACTAGGGAAAATTCTTGACTTTAATTCCCATATTATTCTTTACTATTTTCTTAAAAGCTAAATTGGTCAGTAATTAATTTTTCAATACTGGGTTATGAATAAACATTCACATTATAAATATTTACATTACCAGTATAAGGTTAAATAAAATATTTATAGCATAGTAGTTTAAAAATTCTGACCTAAAGATGTATGGTTTATTTGGAGACTGTAGCTTTTGTGAATCAGAATTATATACATAATTTAGTTTTAAAAACCTGTTAATATCAAAACAACTTTTGCTTTGTTACTTCATATTTCATCTTTTCTTTTATAAACCATCTTTCTCCCTTTTGGTACTTTTCTTGCTGTGAGCACGTATAGTATTGAAGCTCTTTGGTTAGACTGCCTGCATTAAATCTTAGTTTCCTAATTTGTAAAATGGGGATAATACTCCTTTTTGCATCAGACACATTTATATTGATCAAGTGAGATAATGTTGGAAAAGTACTTAAAATAAGGCCTGGCATATAGTAAATGCTCAAAAAGTATTAACTGTTCTTATTTTTCACCTTATTATATATTATCCCCCTCTGCCTTTAAAAACTGTGATAAAGACATTTTGCATTTGGTTATGTACTTGTGCTTTCAGTTGATTATGTAACTGTACTTTAGAAATTGTATCTGATCCACTAGTGTGCTGTTCAGTATGATAGCTACTAGTTATATGTGGTTATTGAGCTCTTGAAATGTTTACCTGAATTGAGAGTGTTGTAAGTGTACAGATTTCAAAGTAAATTATCTTACTGATTTTTTTTTTAGTATTCACTATGTGTTAAAATGATAATGCCTTGGATATATAGGATTAACGAAAATACATTAAAATTAATTTCACCTGTTTTTACTTTTTCAACTGACTACAAGAAAATCTAAAATTTTAAATTTTATTTGCATTTTATTCTTATTGCACATTTTTTCATAAACAAGGAGAAACAGATTTAGGAAATAACCTTAATTTAGAAATCAAGCATTTTAAGTGCTTTTTATAATATAGATCTTTAGACTTACCATTTAGCTCCATGACATTTTTTTATCAGCCCTTCCTCTTTGTTTGCTTAAATCTGTCTTATTGATTTTTAAAGTAATTTAACTACATTAATCTTCCAAATTACAGGAAAAGGAAAAAAATGCTTATAAATATCTTCATAGCTAACCACTGACTCTAGTAAAATGTTCTTACAGTTGGTAAAAACCCAAATACCTGTTGTACTGGGTAAATATGTTTGCTTTCAGCTGTTTAATGAAGGGAGAGGCCTTGAGTTTTGTTTGACAAAGGTGACCTTTTATTATGCAGTTTCATCATGGTGGGTTTTTTTTCCCTGTCTCTTTATGACTGGTAATTTTAATTAAGCACATAATTCCAGAGATAGTGCTCTTGAAGTTACACTTTTGGGGGTGATGTTAGATGGGAAAAAAATTGAGACAGTTGTATTCTTCGGATTACCATGTAATGTCAATGTCTGTGACTTAGGAAAATAGTAGCAGAAAATACTATTCTTGGTGTGTGATATATTCTCTTTGCTAATCTTTAGAGATAGTTTTGTGTACTCGAAAAATATTTAAGTACAGCTTTTCTTAGATGTTGCTAGGGAAACATAGAGTGAAAGAAACAAAATTTCCTGGGAGAGGAAACTTAAGAATTATGTATTATATTTCTGTGATTATATTTGTTCAAGAAATAATTTATGCATCTAGCTTCTGTATGAAAGAAACTAAGTTTAGTATTTCTGAGGGATCAGTGAAATACTTAGAATAATATTTTGATACCGAAGTAGCACATTCTCATTGAAAAGGAATTG